TGCACACAGGAGCATTCATAAATCATGCTGTGCGCAACTGCAGGGAGCTCAGCGATCCCTCCGCCCCCGCCCCGCCACGCACCCAGGTAAAAGGTAGAGAATCCAGCTTGTGACTTGGACCTTCCCTGGCAAGATCACCCCTCATCCAGGAAAGGGGGGGGGGGAGATAAGGGAAAGACAGAGGCTACCTTGGAACCCAAGTCTCCCCTAGACTCTGTCTCTACCCTCGCCTCTGTCACTTACTGGCTGTGTGCCCTTAGGGAAGCGCCTTCCCCTCTCTGGACTGGTTCCCTGTTGGTACTGCCTTCCCATACTGGCCGAGGCAACCAGGCCTCACTCAACGAGCTTCTAAGAGTCGTTTCCTAGCTCTCCCATGCCGTGACTATTCTCCGGCCTCGGGAAGAAGGTTGGGTCAGATTGGAAAGTCCTAGATACTCTTTAGATGCGGCAGAGAAAAGTTTAAGGGATTTGCCCGCTCAAGCTGCGGGGTAAATGGCCCACGGGCTGATTTATGGCGCGTTACTGCACGACGCGATTCCCCAAGACAGCGAGAATATTTTACACCGCGCTAATATAAACAGGCGGCCGGCCGGGTCCTTTTTATGGAGTTCCTGTAATTACCCGCGCCCTGACAGGTCCTTGATTTACGGCCCTATTTAGATAAGAGGTCCGGTGCGGGGATTGCTGGTGGCGTCAAGGTCACAAGACTTGGAGGCGGAGAAGGTTTGCGGTAGGCGCCGTGTGGGCCCTCTGAGGTCTGCCAGTCCCTTGGGTGGAAGTGAGGGGAGAAGTGGCACAAGGGCGGGGAGAGGGGCCTCCAGGCAGAGGCCCCAGTCACTCCGGAGGTCTAAGACTTGAAGAAAGAGGGTCCACTGCCCAGCAGGGTGGCTCAGTGGTTGAGCGTGTTGGTCAGGGCCACTTGGTAGTCAATGTGCTAGGGTTGCAGACTCGATCCCCAGTGTGAGGCATGCTGGAGGCGGATCAATGATTCTCTCTCATCATGGATGTTTCTGCTTCTCTCTCCCTCTCCCTTCTTCTATGAAATCAATAAAATATAAATCAAGAAAAAATCTATAAAGAGGGTCCACTCTACAAATGGGGGAACTGAATCCTGGAGGATGCAAGACTATCCCAAAACAAACAAACAAACAAACAAACAAACAAATCACAGCGAAGGAAATGGAGATGGGTGGGATCTGGAACTGGAACTCAGGTCTCTGGCAGCATCATCCCCACACCTGGCAATGCCAGGTCTCACCCACCTCCTGGTATCCCTCACCAACTCCCAACCCCCAATTTATGGGAGATCTGAGTAGAAGAAGGACAGTTCTGTCTGGGTTTCAACCCAAGTGGGTCCAATCCCACGGCCAGGCTTTCTTCCACACTCCTTTAATACAATTTTCAACCTCTATGTGCTTAAGCTCTAACTTATCAAAGGGGGTGAGAAGTTCTTGTCTGACCTCACCAGCACAACTGCAGAGGAAGCAATGTGTGGTAATGCTCTGAGCGCCAGACCTCCGAAAGGTGCTATCTAGGTGAGCAGCACAGAGGGGAAGCGGGACAGGGGAGACTGAGACTGGTCCGTGGTCTATGGATGTGGGCCCAGGGAGAGTGGAATCCTCTCCTCCCAAACCAAGTGCTAAATGGGAGTGTGGGGAGAGGGAGCCAGGGCTGGGAATTACAGACTATCGATCCTATCCCCTCCTGAAGAGAGAAATGGAGGCTCTGAAGAGGGAAAGGAATACTGAGGTGATAGGCAGAGACCTCTTGCTCTCAGCTTAAAGCAATTCTGATCAAACTCCTGGGTCCCAGCCTCTCTCCCTGCCCCTCTGCAGGGAACACCCTCACCAGGTCCCCACCATCCCATTCCTCTCCTCCAAAGCGTCAGGCTGAAGTTAAAGTGCCTCAGGGGCTCCCAGCGGAGGGAGCCAGGTTTGAAGCGGAGGCGCCTTGTGGTCTACGCAGGCGTCCATCCTGCAGGAGCCCGCCAAGCCCGGAGATCGGGGATTCCCTAGGGCCTCACTCTCAGAGCAGGCACCTCTCATCCGCACACTTCAAATCCTTCACAGTCTTTTTAGGGAAGGAGGCGCCCCCCCCCCCCCCCCCCGCACTTCTGGGTCCCAGGTGGCTGGGAGCACCTTGCTCTTTAAGCACCCACCTGGGCGTGGGGTGGGAAACAGGGCAATCTTGGGGCCCTCAAGGGGTCTGATGGAACTGGGACTCATCACCCAATACTGATAATACATTCCCCATCCCACTAAACAGGCTGGTGATGTTTAACCACAGGAAAAGGACTGGGACACATGGATGGGTGCTGGAGCATAAATGTGTGAGTATGTGGGTAACTATGTGTATCTGTGTGAGTGTGCCTCATTCATGTGGGTGCTATGATAATATGCATACTATTGTTCAACTTCATTTCATCAGTGTGTACACATGGCTATGTAAGACAGAAGAGATGACAAACTGAGTGTTTGTGTATAATGTGCAAAGATGTGAAAACACCTATTTCTGAGCACCTGTGCTTATATAGTAGTAGCCATGGCTGTGTACTTGCGTGTGTTTGTGGGACTGAAGGTTTAGTTGTGACACAGAATACACGAAAGGCATGATGCAGTTTTTGGACGTTTGTGCTGTGAATACAATTGTGGGGAAATGTTAGGAACTGTTACAAACTGCACCCATGCACAATTGTGACATAAGACGCTGTGCAGCACCCTACAGTGGTGTGTCATTTATGTGGGATGTGTGTGTGCCTCTACTGGAAGATGGTGTCCCTTTGGAAGAGCTCAGCTGCAACCTCTCCGCACGGGGATGTGTGCCTGTGGGTGGGTAACAGAGAGATAACGTGTAAAATCCTGGAAATGCATGAATGTTGAAATGTTGTCTTGTGTGGGTGTATATGTGTTATCCTGAGAACATATATACGTTTGGATATATGAACATATGGGCCTTTGTGTATGCGGGTGATCCTCTGTGCAATTATGTGCGCATGTGTAATCTTGGGCCGGGTGTGCCACATTGAGAGCTCTAAGTGAAGATCCTGCCTGGATTAGGACAAAGACTGGGTGTGTGTTGAAGACTGAGGTCCTTCTCCACACAGTAATTACTCTCCCTTCCCAACACGCTCAGGAGAGCCTCCACGCCAGGGAGGCGCGGAACCCCGCAGCGCCGAGGTGAAATGGGGCGCCGGCGCTCCCTCCCCTTGAACCTCTGGCTCTGCTGGGCCCAACCCCAGCGCTGCTGGCGCCAGGCGCCCGGAGAGCGGCAGGGTTCTAGCCAGCCTCAGGCAGGAAACCAGGACTTCCCTCCCCCACGCACCTCCAGGGTCCACAGCCTTAGGGGACCAGGGGGAACTGGCCGGCCGGGGACAAAGCGTTTGTCTCCTTCCCTCCTGTGGTATACCCCCTCCCACCCCCTCCTACCCCTCCCATTTACTCCCTCGTTCAGGAGAGGAAATAACAGTATCCACTGGCTGTGGGACGCAAGGAAAATCGTTCATCTCTGGGCCTCACTTGTTCTGTCTGTTCAGGAAAGAATCGGCCTTTCCCCCTCTGACTTTGGACTAAGTGCGCCAGGCACATAGTGGGCACCAATAAATTAGTAAAGGAATGGGGAAAGAAATGAATTTGTCCTGTAAAAAGAGCAGCCACATATTGCTCTTCTCCTTCCACCCTCACCTCCACACTGGTTTTGAGAGCTGGGCACACTCCCTCTACCCCACCCGGGGAAGGGGGGCTGGGAAAGGCTGGCGAGGCGGAGGGATCCAGGCAGGGGGACGTTAGCTGGCAGCTACTGCAATGAGAGGTGAGACAGAAAACCCAGCCAGAAGCGCCATCACTCTGGGAATTCCGGGTCGGAGCGGAGCCCAAGGAAGCTTCCTAGCAGAGCCTGGGACAGGCCCGGCTGCGGGGAAACCGCGGAGGGCCGAACGCGTCCTTGTGCGTTTCCGAGAGTGCGCTCCTCCCGCGAGGGAGCCTGGCGACCAGTGTGGACGTCCTGGTACGCGCGCACCGCTAATTTCTCGCGGTGTGAGCTTTGGCATTGCTGTCTTTTACAGAATCGAACATTCTCAAGCGACGGTGACTTGGCGGAGTGGTCCGAGGAGGCCAGACTCCTTGCGCAGAGGCGCAGTCAGCCGCGGAGCACAGGGCTTGGCGAGAGTTGGCGGGGCGCACGACCCGCGCGGAATTCTCCCACTCGGGCAGGATGAGGCTCGGGACTGGGGTGCCTGGGGAGGAACGCCAGGGGCCTACCCTGCCTCCAGCAGCGATACCTCCTCATCTTCTGCCTCTGACGCCAAGGGGAGCAATGGAGTTTGGGACTAGAGACCTCTGGGGTTCCCATTTTAAATTCTGGAGGGTCTACAAGAAGCTTGCTTTCTCTGGCCCTCAGTGTCCCCGTGTGAAGGCAAAGGGTGGGCTCTAGAAGACCTTTTCGCTAGGTGACTCTAGATTTCCCCCCCTTGGCTCCTTGGGTGCGGGTGGCCACCACCTTCCGGGGTGCTGACAGGCCTGCGCCTCCAGTACGCTGCCCCTGCCTCCCCAACCCCAGCCGAAAACGGGGAGGGGGAGGGGCCGGGGCGGGCCGTCTCCCTGTCGCCCCCGCAGGCAGCCTGGAGGCGAGTGGCTCAAGCTGAGCTTAAAAACAGGGACGGCCACCCCCACCCCCCTGCCATTGGTTCCAGGGAGAGGTTGACATCAAAGCCGTGGCCTTATATAAGCCAGACCCTGCAGGGGAGGCCGCAGAAGGGTTAAACAGGTCTCTCCACGCCGCGTCCGTATCTGCAGCCTCAGCTCGTGGCACCGCCACGGAAGCGGCAGGCTGCCTGGCCCGGACCCTCCCGGAGCCCCGCGCACCCACCGCCGCGTCTGGGACTCCCCGGAGCCCGCGCACCCACGGGAGCGCCGCCGCGAGCTCACGGGTGGCCTCGGTCGCCTCGGGAGTGCATGGGGCGGCGCTAAGGGGACCGGCGGTGCAGACCAGGTGGCCGCTCCACCATGAACCTCGTGGGCAGCTACTCGCACCATCACCACCACCACCACCACCACCCGCACCCCGCGCACCCGGTGCTCCACGAGCCCTTCCTCTTCGGCCCGGCCTCGCGCTGCCACCAGGAGCGGCCCTACTTCCAGAGCTGGCTGCTGGGTCCCCCTGACGCCGCTCCGGACTTCCCCACCGGCGGGCCGCCACCCACCGCAGCGGCGGCCTCTGCCGCCTACATCCCGGACGCCCGGCCCGGCCAGAGCCCAGGGAGCCTGGAGGCGCTCGGCGGCCGCCTGGGCCGGCGGAAAGGCTCGGGACCCAAGAAGGAGCGGAAGCGCACCGAGAGCATCAATAGCGCGTTCGCGGAGCTGCGCGAGTGCATCCCCAACGTGCCGGCCGACACCAAGCTCTCCAAGATCAAGACCCTGCGCCTGGCCACCAGCTACATCGCCTATCTGATGGACGTGCTGGCCAAGGACGCACAGGCCGGTGACCCTGAGGCCTTCAAGGCCGAAATCAAGAAGGTGGATGGCGGGCGCGAGAGCAAGCGGAAAAGGGAGCTGGTAAGTTCGGGGCCTCTAAGTTCCGGCCAAGGGCGGTGGGCACCCGCAGGCGGCGCGCGCTGGAGGAGTCTGTGTTGCGGTGTGTGAGATTTTGAGAGGCTGCGGGGAGTTCTGAGAGGGTTGAAATGTGGGATTGTGTGCGTGAGGGAGAAAGATTAATACGTGAACGTCATGAGGGATGTTGTTTGTAAGGCTGTGAATTAAGACATAGTCTTAACTTTTTTGGAGGAGCTATAGAGTCCCTTTTAAGAATCCACTGGAAGCTTAAGACCCTGAGAAAATACACATATATTTCCGCTTCCAATTTCGAGGGGTCCTTAAGCTATCCCTGGTTCTCCTGGAAGCCACTTTAAGAATGCTGTAAGAGTTCCTTACTTGATGTGCCTGAGTGTGAATTTATGCTTACGGACTTATTGTTTTCAAAGGACCTTTGCTGGAGAGGTTAGTCTACCTACATCTTCCTACAGACAGGGAAACAGGCCAGGAGTAGGACTGAAGGTGAAGGCCTCGGAGTCAGAGGTGCAGCCGGGGTAAAACAAGTCAGGTCTTCTACTCTCAGTCCAGAGCACACTTCCCACGGGCTCATTCCATGGGCGACCTTGATGGTTTGGTGTGTCAGTATCTACAAGTGAGAGTCTCATACCTTCTTTTGGCTTTGGAGATCACAGTCTCTACTTGGCCTTTCTCGATCCTCTCCAGTGAGGGAGACACTTTCTGAAGCCTGATTCTGCTGGCCCAGAGCTGTGGAACCTCAGAGAGTGGAGATTTCCAGGCTAGAGAACTAGTTTATCTAGGTTAGTATGCTAGGGCTCAGGCTGTCCCCCCGGGAAGCTGACTAGAGAGCCCTGGGTTTGGTCTGACCCCCAGAGGCTGTGGTAAACTAGGGAAAGCTCAGCTGGGGAGACTGGGAAAGACTTTCAGCTGGAGATGCAGGCCCAACGACGCCTCAATGGCGGTAGTTACTGGGCGTGTTCCCACCTTCCCCACCTCACTGCCTCTTTTAAGAATCACCGCTTGGTTTCTGCTTGAGAGCGGGGAAGGGGAGTGGGATGGCAGACCCGGCCGAGTACCCTACTCTCAGCTGTCTGAAGCTACCCAGCACCAGCAGGCGGGTGAGGATCCAACCTAGTGTCCAAGCCCAGGAGCTAAGCCAGGTTGGAAAGTCCGTGGGGAGAGCAGTCCTCGAAGCGCAGGCGGGAAAACTGTGGGTTCTCACCCCTCCCACTCTCAATCCCTGCAGTATCTCCTGGGCACCATCACGCCAAATCTAGGCGCATCAATTTCACTAGACACAGAAAATTCTCATTCTGGAACCCCCAGCAGCTGCCCAGCCCGTACCACCCCCACTCCCCAGACGGCGCATTAAGGCAGATTTTATGAGCTTGTTTGCCTATTTCGCAAACAGAAACCCGTTACTTATTTAAAGGCTCCCCGTTACTGCTCCCAACACCTTTCCCCGACCCCACTGCGCCCTGGCGACCGGAGCAGAAAGATTTAAACCTGTCTCTCTCGCCTCTCTCTCTGTGCATGTCCTCTGGCAGCAGCAGCACGAAGGCTTTCCTCCTGCCCTGGGCCCAGGCGAGAAGAGGATTAAAGGGCGCACAGGCTGGCCGCAGCAAGTCTGGGCGCTGGAGTTAAACCAGTGAGCCGAGGCCCGCGCGGAGGACCTCACCACCGCGGCCCGACCCCGGAGGCCCGGGAGGAGAGGAGGGCAGAGTGCCAGACTCTGGGTACCCAGGCCTTATGGGGCGCGTCCTGCCGAGCCTCTGCTGTGTGCCGGCAGGTTGTCGGCTGCAACAACACACTTGGATCGCACGTGCAATGTCATTTGAAATTGTTTTTAATACATTAAGAGAAAGAGAAATATATATATCCACCCCTATAACCAGGAGGGCGGCTCTTGGCAGCACTGTGTCGGGAGGGAGAGACTGCGGGACTCCGGACGGACAAGCGGCTAAGACGCACCCTTGCAACCCTTCTGGGGCGAATTTGGAACCCCCAGCACCTTCCCCACCGAGCTATCTGGCTCTCTTTCTAATGCCCTCTGGTTCCAATCAAAACCCTGGAGCGCTCAATTCCCTAATTAAAATGCAATAAGAGGAATCAATAGTTTACTGCCAAGAACGGAGAACCAGATCGTGAAGACAGAGGGCTGCCTTTTGATCTCCCTCAAACAGTGGTGATTTTATTTTATTTTTTACTTTTGTCGCTGCACTTCCTACTTAGTTCCAAGGGAAACACATTTTCCCCTTCCTCCTCTCCTTTCTTTCCTTTCTTTTCTCCCCTTTTTTTTTTTTTTTCCTTCTTTCTTCTTCCTTCCTTCCTCCCCCCCTGGCTCCCTCCCCTCCCTTCATTTGTAAATAAAAGCTTTTCCCTGATGTTGAAAAGTTTTTATGTATTTAAACTACCTACGATGCCTGCTGTGCTCAGGTGTTTGTTTATTCCCCTACCCCACCCTTTTTCTACCTCAAATCTATATGACCACTCACCGCCCTCTCCCTTCGCCAAAGCAGTATCTACGCTCTTGACTAATAAAACATTTTCTGAAATCGGAGGAAGCCTGTGTGGTGTTTTGGTGGGTATCCCTGGCTTCATCGTTTCTGCTAGGTAGAGAGCCTACTTTTTCTAGATAAATGCCAAACCAAACTACAAGTCATGTCAAGGGGAGGGGGCAGAGAAAGGACTTATTCCTTGAAGGAAGAACAAAGCTCTCCTTAGAACGGGATAACTTTAGTGACCCCACAGAAAGGAAAACTAGAAAGGAATTAGACCCAGATTGTCGGGCTGTGGGTTAGGTGGTCTAACACCGGGTTAGTATGCACTTGGTGTCTGAAGAAAGTCTGTTGGGGTGGACAGGAGAGGGCAGTGAAGCTGGGAAGAGAGGGGTGTGTTCAAGCATACAGAGTTTACCCACATTGAATGAAGAACACGGTTGTGTAGGTAACGGTGAGGAGAGGAAACTTGCTCAGAGCCCAGTGCCTGTGTCGGGGCCAACGGGAGCTTCGGCTTAGCATAGCTCCCGGCGCGATGTAAGGGCTCGACAAGCTGAAGCAGCTCTTATTTTGTACAAGAGCAAAATAAGCTTGTGGGTGGTTACCTGGAGACATTTAGGTTTCTCTCCCGCAACAGCACATTCAACAAATACTTGTGAGAGTGTATGGACTGTGTAAAGGGGTGAGGGTCCCTGCGTGCTAGTTCCGCCACATGCACACCCAGGGCTGGATGTGGGATGAACAAAAGAGGGTGCGTTTTTTAGCTCACACTGGGCTAAACCGGGGTGAGCAAAAGAAGACTGTTATGTGTCCCTGGATAATAAGAGTACAGACACCTACTTTTGCTTTGCTTGCGCACAACTGTGCTAGGCACTAGGCTAAGTGCTTTTATGCCTCTGAACAGCTCCCATGATTGCCCGAGGGTCGCATAGTCTGCAGTGCTTGGACGGGTCTCCGATGTTCCCTCTGGGGGAACACGCGCGTGGGAATGGTTAAATTGAGACACCGGGAGCTGGGGGTCCAGAAAGGAGACCCCCGGCAGCTCTGGGCCAGGTGTGCCCAGGCGCCTCGTCCCAGCACCGGGGTGAATATAGGGCCCCATTAGTCTTGGCTGTAAACACCGTGGCAGGAGCACAGCGGCCACGCGGGCCTTTCCGGACACGAAGGAGTTAATAAAAGGTGTTTTATGGACGTGAGGAAATGGTGGGGGAGGTGTGAGCTTCTCTCCACTCCCACCCCCCTACTTTTTTCTTTTTTCCCTCTCGCCACCCGCCTCCAGATCAAACAGACCGGTGATTTAACTAGGGCAACACCTCGCGGTAATGAGCCGTCCTGGCACACCCCTCCCCCGGCCTCAGTTCCCGGCCCCAGGCCCGAAGGTCCCTCGGGCAGAGCAGAAAACAAAAATCGTGTTTTTTTTTTTTTTTTTTTTTTTTTTCTTCTTCTTCTTCTTCCTTCCCTTTCCTAGAGCTAGAAAGCCCCTTAGAAATCCTGGTACGCACGCACTGAGACACAGACTCAGGAAGAAAACCGACCGACATGCACCAGCACGGAGGGGGCCTTACTGGGATTCGAACCCAGGATTGCAGTTCGGTTTTCAGACCATCCTCAGCCTCAATGCCGAACGCCGCTCTCGGGACTATTTTTAGTTTCCAAAGTATCCGAGGCATGGGAAGAATGCGCACGGGGTCCCCTTTCTTGCGTCCCGTCTAGTGAAAGGAGAGAGGACGCCGAGGGGTAGGTACCGCCTGCGCAGCCCCAGCCACGTTTGCCTAACCAGGCCTGCTCGGCAACCCCAGAGGGCCCGGGCCCAAACCCCCATTGAGGAGCGGGTGGAGCCTCAAATTCAGCCCCAGCCACGTCGGTCCCAACCTCAGACCTAGGACCTGGGAGCCGAGCCGGGGCATGCCCATTGCGGGGTCGCAGGGATGTCCTCCCACTTTCCCCAAGCCTCATGCTCAGCCCCCACTTCAGGACTGGAAAAGCGGGACCCCTGGAGAGGAACGGAGTGGTTCCGGGTTCCAAGAAACCGGTCTCTGGGCTGTCCCTCCTCTCTTCTCACCGAGCCTCTCACCCTCCTTCAGTCCCCCTCCTGTGAAATGGCTTTAGAGCCTGGCCTTTGCTTTCTTATTCTCTCCCACGGTTCAAGGCTGTTTGCCAGAAACCTACCTCAACCCGGCTGTGGCAGAAGCAGTGCCATTATTATTATTCTATTATTTTTAAGGGCATCACCTTTAAAAAAAAAAGGGGGGGGGGAAATGGAATGGTCATGAACTTAAAAGTAAATTCCAGGAATTTCTCATAAGGAAATACTCATTGGTGTTACAAACCTTTAACTACAGGACTAGTCTAATAAGGAGTGAAAAATAGGAAAGGACCCAGATGGGCTATAATTACAGAATTATAACTGGTTAAAGAAATCCATTCGTACAGTGTGTTACTACTCAGCTACTAGAAAAAAAAAATGTGAGGGTTGACATGGAGATTGTTCATTATAGATTATGTTGAGGGGGAATAAAACCTCTCCCAGGTTACTGAAGACTGTCCATCATGACCTGTTTTATGTAACAATAAATTAATGAACGCATAAGTATCATTCATGGAGCAAAAGTGGAAGAATATACATCAAGACATTTACACCTCTACCTCTGAGTTAAGGGAATAAGGATAATTTTGATTTTTCCTCCTGTGTAGGTGTTTTTTTTCCTAGGATATTTTTCCATTGATTTTTAGAGAGAGTGGGAGGGAAGGGGAGAGACCGAGAGAGAAAAATATCGATGTTTGAGAGATGCATGGATTCATGGGTTGGTTGCCTTCTACATGCGTCCCAACGTGGGCCAACCAATGATCAAGCCTGCAACTGAGGTACATGCCCTTGACCAGAATCAAACCTGGGACCCTTCAGTCTGAGGGCCGACTCTCCATCTATTGAGACAAACCAGCTAGGCCTGTGGTCGGCAAACTGCAGCTCTCGAGCCACATGCGGCTCTTTGGCCCCTTGAGTGTGGCTCTTCCACAAAATACCACGGCCTGGGCGAGTCTATTTTGAAGAAGTGGCGTTAGAAGAAGTTTAAGTTTAAAAAATTTGGCTCTCAAAAGAAATGTCAATCGTTGTACTGTTGATATTTGGCTCTGTTGACTAATGAGTTTGCCGACCACTGAGCTAGGTCATCTACTTTCTCTTATACAATTAATAAGTATTAGTTTTACAATAAAAAAGTAAGCTGCAATTTCCTTTTAATTTCACCTATGGCCAGTGTACTCTGAGTACACTGTTTAGTCAGTACACGTTACTTGAGTACCTAGCTGTGGGTATAAACATAATGAGTAAGAAATAATCCATATAATCAGCACCAATTAACATACAATAGTAAATATTGGTCTTGAAGAGTTGATTTTTCCTTCTACAAGGTAAATAGACTTTTCTCACATTTAAAACCTATTAATGCATGAAATAATAACAAAGCTAAAATTAATTAAAGAAATTATGAAAGCTCTTGGCATGAATTATTTCATTAAGCTTAATGGGAACTGTGTGAGGTTGATACTAAGGCAGCTGAGGCTTAGAGAGGCGAAGGACTTTGTTCAAGGTCACATGGACCGTAAAGGCTGACAGAGCGTGGATCAAAAGGCAGGTCTTGCTGTCCCCAGAGACATGGCTTTCCCCCACATTTCAGAGTACCTCCAGGATGTATGTATGTATGTATGTATGTATGTATGTACGTATGTGCAAATACAGCCTCTTAATCTGATCTTTGGTAAAGTAAGGTAGAGAAAGAAAGGATTTGGGGGGAAGGATCTATGATTCCGACTCATCTGGAATCCTCTTCCTCTATCCCCACTCAGAGTGGTTCCATGTATATAGTGATGAAGGGGTGAGTTTCTTGACCCCCAGATTCTTTCCCAGCTGTAACACCGAATCTAGGAATCCGCTTTCTGCTGGTGGAAAATTCAGAATATTATTCTTTGCCCCAGCCTCTGATGTTTGTATAGGTCATTCACCTTTCCTTGATACCTTCACTTCTCTAAGCACATTTTCCTCTCTAGAAACTAGAAGGAAGCAGGGGTAGGGATTATGGCTCCTCATGGATGGAAGGAGAAAGGAAAACCCAGAGAGGTGAAGTGACCAGCTCAGGGTCACACAGCCAGTCGAG